GAATAATATAAAGAAAAGAACTGACAAACCATACCATAGAAATATGACTGCAGAATTGAGGTTGCTACAGAAGGAGGGGAGAATAGGGTTGGAACAAAGGGAGGAGAAGGCCCAATGGCCTGGGGTAAAATGCTTTGATGGGGGGGTGATATAGTGACGTACATCTGAAGAGGTACAAGCCCTTTCCCCTAAATTATATACAGGGCCTCCCCTGGTGGCTCAGTGGTTGAGTGCTGGGCTGCGAAGCTGCCCGCAGCCTCTGTAGCGCCGGTTTAATCCCTGGCCACCGGCAAGGGTCCCACATGGCAGGACAGACCTCTCCTGCTGTGCCCGCTGCTCCCCTCAGCAGTGTATTTCGTCAGTCTTCCTGTTCTGTTCCCTGCTCTGGGTCTGGTGAATTCTCTCACCGTCCCGCGCTTCTGACTGTACCCAGTGCTTGTATAAATAAATAAATAAATCTTTTTAAAAAATAAAATAAATTATATACAGTGTTGTAAACCAAAGTTATCTTGATAACGAAAAAAAAAAAATAGGTTCTTTCCCTAAACAGAGTGGAGGTGGGGAAGAATCTGCCAATTCTAGCCCCTACCTGTCAGGTGCTTTTGCTGCTCAGGAGAGAGTGTATCGTCACTATCTTTGATTTTAAAAGCTCAGAGAAAGAATTTTGAGTCGTTCTTCATCACAAGGCTGGCCAAAGGCAGGAGAAAGAGCGAGTGAGGGAAGGAGCAGGGGTCTGAACCCGCTCTCCCAAGGCGTGTGGTCGATGACAAGAAGAATAGCATGCACATTTATGGAGCCCTGGGCCCTTGCCAAGCATGAGGCTAGACTTGACATCTTCATGTCATTTGCTCCAGCAACTCCTTGTGATGACACCAGTTGACCCAATTTACAGTGGAGGCAACCAAGGTACAGACAGTCGCAGGCCGCCTTGTTGTTTTGCAAATACTTTGATGAATTCAAACAATTTTTTCAAACCCCTTATGGCAGCAATACCACCAGCCCTGCCTCGGGGTGACCGGCCATCCTGGGGTGTGGGACTCAGTCCCTTACGCCCCCGTGCTAAGGTCGACAGGTACTCCTGGGCCACAGGACAGCAGGTGCCCTTCTGCGCCTAATAAACGTTCTTCCACACACACACAAGGCGGCAGAGTCACCAGATTCATTCATGGAACGGGTGACGGGCCACCCGCCCCTTGGGCCCCAGCTCTGAGATTCTGCCTCCGGGTGTTGTCTGAAGCCCTGTGACCCTGGCATGAAGTCTTTCTGGATCGCTCTCAGAGCATCTTCCCACAGATGCTCGGGGGATCTCAAGGCAGGGAAGAGTCCTCCTTTGTTGCTCAAACATGCCCCCCCACCCCAACCCCCCTTGGATGCTGGCGCCAGAATTGCTCACTGAGCACCCGTCTGGCTCCTGCGCTCGCGGTGACTCACCCACAGGCCTGCCTCACAGAGCGCTGTTTGCAGTGCGCTGTAATTAGTTAATGAACAATCTGAATGACATTTCTCTAGTCATTCAGCCAGCCCCATCCTCGGGGTGGTAATTGTATTTCAGGTTATTTTAAAGACATTGTTGTATCTAAATAGAGTTTACATCAGCAGACAGGGTGATTAGTAATCCTGCTATCCCTGGTGTTTCTAGACTGTTCGATAAACTGTCTGGGGAACTGTGCAAAAATGGTTCTGTCTTCCCCCACCCTAGTGGGTCGTCTCTGCCAGAAACAACCAGTTGTCTGTGAGGAGAAGTAATAAAAGCCACCTGTGGCCAGAAGCCAGTTGGCCTCGTTTTAGGACGCTTTTCAGATGAGACTCTGCATTTAGTCGTGAACAAACTCGCCCTTATCTTTGCTGGAACTACTCTGGTCTGCTCTTGGTCTGCCTCCCTTTACCCCCTTTGGGGACCTATTAGAGTGAGACAGTTAAAAGCAAGGGCGTGGCTCACTAAACATCTCTAAGCCTCCATTTGCTAGACTAAAATGGGATCTTCGAGGTGACAGTATGAGACTCGCCATATTAGTGCTGCTCAGGTGTCAGGCTCTGTCCCATGTGTTTCACATGACATATCTCTTATGATCCTCTACTGTGTGTGACACTATTATCAGGTTCTGTAACCAGGAACCTATTGTTATCCCCCCTTTTCATGTGAGGAAACTGAGTCACAGAGAGGGTCAGTAACTTTCCAGGATCCCTTCTCTCAGGGTCCAAATGCAGGAGACTGATTCTAGAATCTTTGAACTGACCACTCTGCTACTCTGCCTTTTTCTTTTTCTTTTTTTTTTTTTAAATTTATTTATATTTATTTAAATTTATTCATTTATTTATACAAGCACTGGGTACAGTCAGAAGAACGGAGGGTGAGAGAATTCACCAGAGCCAGAGCGGGGAGCAGAGCAGGCAGAAGGACCGAAGTACACTGCTGAGGGGAGCAGCAGGAGGCAGGAGAGGTCTGTGTGCCATGTGGGACCCTCCTCCAGTGGCCGGGGAGCAGCCAGGGATCGAACTGGTGCCGCAGAGGCTGCGGGCAGCTTCGCAACCCAGCGCTCAACCGCTGCGCCACCAGGGAGGCCCCCAACTCTGCCTTTTTCATAAGGTTGTGAGTTATTCAGTGAGATCCACTAAATAAATCTCCACGGTGTGTTCCAACACATTACTCAGGACAAGGCCAGCGCTCAGTTCTCGGTGGAAGGGCTTCAGAAGCTTCTGCATTGTATTTTAGTTATCTTTGGTCATGTTCTAATGTTCCAGGGCCGCTGCTAGATTATAAATTCCCAGGAGGCAAGATTAATTTTTGCCTCCTTTCTATATGTCTTCTAACTCCTTATCCCTAGTGGGAAGTCAGTAAATATTTGTCGAATAAGCAAATCTACAGAGATGTGAAGGGCCTGCAAAACGTGCTTTATCCATGTATTAATGCAGACATTCTCAATGTAAAGTTAATCTGTAGCTGTAAGTATATTTGAGACGTACAATCATTTATGTCAATTGCTAAGAGGATCAAATGAAATGTATGTGAAAAATGCCTCAGAAATTCTTTTTTTTTATTCTCCCCCCTTCAGAAATTCTAATTGATCAAACTTTTGGTATATATTAGAGAAAGAGAGAGAGAGTTCGAGAAAGTTCTCTTTGAGTCTGCTTCTGTTGGAGCAGGTGCTAATCTCCAAGGATAAACTGTCCCTTCCTACATGGTGGGATCCCTATCACCACACGAGGCAGCAGTGAGTAAATAGCAAGTATTTACACACGCCAACACGAGAAATTTTTATTTTAAGGACGCGAAAATGTCTATCAGTTATCTATTGCTACATAATGCATTATCCCAAAATTCAGTGGCTTAACACAACAGCAAACATTTATTATCTCACACAGTTTCCGTGGCTGGGAAGTGGCTTAGCTGCGTTGTTTTGGCTCAGTGTTTCATACAGCTCGATGCAGCCCGGTCTGCAGGTAGCCAAAGGTTTGACGACGGGGCGGGGGCATCCACTTCCAAGGTGACCCACAAGCTCCTCTCCCACGGGTCTCTCCATAAGGCTACCCAGGGTCTTCCCATCGTGGTGACTGGTTCCCCTTGGGGGAGGGAGTCTCAAAAACAAGGCAGAATCTGTAATGTCTTTATGTTCCATCTTGGGAGCAAAACGCCCTTCTTCTGCAGTATCCCATTGGTCACATGAGTCAGCCTGATTCAAGGTTGGAGGGGCCTCTACCACGGCAAGAACCAGGAGCCCATGATCATGGAGGCCTCTTTGGAGACTCCATGGATCTCAGAAATCAAGAAAAAAGGCCATACCCCAGATAGGCCTCCCAGAAACAAGTGCTAGATGGTAGCCCAGAGCCAAGACAGCGCTGGCCATGTTTTCTCCCGCCAGTTCATTCCATGTCACGTGCCAGCCCATGGCTTGGTTTCTGGGGACCCACTCCTAGCCTGGAAATTTGGGGGAGGCAAGATCTACATTTTCCAAAACAGACACCTTCACTCAAGACCGCAGTCGGGACTGTCTCCCTAAGATGAGACCATGGTGGGAGAGATCTCAGGAATGTGACCCGTCCAGCGTGGCTACTCGTCAGGCACTGTGATGGATGGAGGGGCCACAGGTGGGGAGACGGAGGACAGGTGAAGAGACATTGGCTGACACTGGCCTCTCTGTTTTGAGGGGAAGACATCCATAAGCACGTAATTATAACTTGTGTAATGAGGTCAGATGGGAAGCACTCCCACCGTTTTGGGGGAACACGGTGGGGATGACCCCTTCTCTCCGGGAAATAGGAGAAGACTCCCCAAGAACACCTCCGCTCTGAGATGAGTGACGGCAGCAGAAGGGAAGGGAGAATGGCATTTCCGACAGGCTATTTGGGGGGAAGGTGAGATGCTGTAGTGGGCTGGAGGCAGGGTGGATGGGAGAAGAGTTGGCGAGGTTAGCTTCGCTGACACTGTGACAAGCTTGGCAGGCCCAGCCGAGACCTTGGACTCTTCCCGAGAGCAGTGAGTTCTGGAAGGAGCTGAAACTGGAAGGAGGCCTGTGGGTGGCTCCGGGAACTTACCTGACAGCAGGCCCGGAAAGGAGCCTCCTTCACTCTTCAGGTTCTACCTCGCCAGGGCTGGCTATGATGTGAAGAAAGCAATATTCTCCAGCACACAAAGACAGCCCCGCTGATGAGCAGCTGATGATGTCCCTCCTCTGGTTCCCTTTAATGGTAATCCCTGTAAATGTAATTCCAAATGAAGCAAGCTTTACTGAGCACCAGAAGCCCCGACTGTATAGTAAAAGGATTTCATCCGGAGCCTGAGAAAAGTCTCCCTCTGGACTCCTCAACAAATAACTCCTCATCCTCCTATAGATAACCTCCCAACCAATTCAGACAGTAATATCTGGAAAGGAAACCCCATTTTTTGGCAGTGCAGACCCTGCCAAGAAGCAACTTATTGCAGACTCGTGGTTCTTACCTAAGCGTGCTTGGTTGCAGGTTTTATTATTGAAATGTTCCAGAGCTGGTTTTCTGTCCTACAGGTCATGTTCACAGAGTCACTTAGGAGGCAGAAGCCCCTGCGTGAAGTGGGTTGCTTTGGAGAGACCTGCCTTGGGAAGGGGGACCATTGTGTTGCAGAAGCTTCCGGAAGCCACCCACCTGTAATTAAGAGCCTGCCCTCTGCAGTCCGCCTGCCTGGGCTAATAGCCCGACCCCTCTTGCTCTGTGACCTTTGGTAAGTCACTTGTACTCTGCACCTTAGTTTTTCATCTGTGAAATAGGGATTGGTTTAGTTCCTTCTGGCTGCTGTAACAAAATATCAGAATGGGTGGTTTAAAGCCAGCTGGAATTTATTTCTCACAGTTCTGGAGGTTAGAAGTCCAAGATCAAGACACAAGCGTGGTCAGATCTGGTGAAAGCCCTCTTCCTGGTTGACAGCTGGCCCCTTCGCACCGTGTCCCCATATGGTGAGGATGAGGGGTGTCTCTGGAGCCTCGCATAAGGGCAATAATCCCATTCATGAGGACTCCACCCTCAGGATTTAAGCCCCTCGCAGTGGCCCCACCTACTAATACCGTTACCTTTAGGGTTAGGATTTCAGCATATGAATTCCGGGGGACACAGACATTCATACAGACCAGAGAAGGGATGACAACACTGACATTTTCTTCCTTTTTTTTTTTTTTAAAGTTTTATGCATACAAGAACTGGGGTTACAGGCCAGAGGTGCAGGGGGAGAGAGAGGATTCCCCAGAGACAGAGTGGGGAACAGAACAGGCAGACTGACTGAACAGGCATACTGCTGAGGAGAGCAGCGGGCGAGTCAGGAGAGGTCTGCTGCACCATGTGGGTTGCTCCCTGGCAGGCTGGGGATCAAACTTGTGCTGCAGTGGCTGCAGTTAGCTTCATAGGTTGCATCCTAACCCCTTGCACCACCAGGGAGGCCCAACATTGACACTTTCTTAGGGTTCTTGTGCAGATGAAGTGAATTAATACACATACAGGTTTTAGAAGAACACCTGGCATACAGAAAGCTCCATATAAGTGTTTGCTGCTAATATTATTACATTCATGTAAACTAATTCATCTGCAATGTTTCTCCCACAAAGCTGTACTTATAACACATTTTTGTTTTGAGCTTGCTGTTTCAATCATCACAATGGCATCAGTCATCTAGTTGGGGTCATGGAAGAAACCAATCAGTTACCAAGTTTTGGATCTATCTACTTGTCTCCAATATAGATTGTAATTAAGCCCGCAGGTTCCAGACCTGGAGTGCCCAGGCTCAAACCCTGGCTCTCCGCTCACTAGTTATGTGACATTGGGCAACTTTCTCAACTCCTCTGAGCCTCAGTGTTCTCTATAAAACAGCAATAGTAATGATGCCTGCTTCTTAGTTTTTTGTAGTGATTGAGCTCATGCAGGCAAAATGCCAAGAACACAGCTATACATGCAATCAAACCCAATTTTCATTAATATCATTCCCGTTCTAGTCCCAGCACAGCATCCCTCCCTTAAATGTTCATGTCAGCCTTTTAACTATTCTCCTGACCACCTCTCTTGCCTTTCTGCAAGGCATTCTCCACAGCGCACATGATTTCCCATAACAACAACTCTGATTACGTCACTCCTCTGTTTAAAATTCTGCCAATGCGGCCTCCCTGGTGGCACAGGGGGTTAAGACGCAACCTGTGAAGCTGTCCGCAGCCTCTGCAGCATGAGTTCAATCCCCGGCCAGCCAGGGAGCTACCCACATGGCACAGCAGACCTCTCCTGACTTGCCCGCTGCTCCCCTCAGCAGTGTATTTCCATTAGTCTGCTTGTTCTGTTCCCCAGTCTGTCTCTGGTGAATCCTCTCACCCCCCACACCTCTGGCCTCTGCCCCAGCTCTTGTATGCATAAAATAAATGAATCTTTAAAAAATAAATAAATAATAAAATAAAATTCTGCCAATGATTCCCTTTGCTCTTGGGATAAATTCCCACCCACTTAGAGGCCCTTCTGCCCTGTAAAATCAGGGCTCGCCTGTCCATCTCCTTACCTTCAGCCTGCAGGACCTGACCTTCACACATGCTGTGGGATGGTTCCTTCCCACACTCTCTGTCCAGCTGACTCTACTCACCCAACAAGGTGCAGTTCTTGTGTGACTTCCTCAAAGACGCCCTCCCTGACTTCTGGACCTGGACTGTTTTTCCTTCTTGGTTTTGACAATTGGGATTCAGTTCCTATTTGCGTAACTTCAATGTCTATGTATGTTCACAAACATACATACACCAAACTTGGCATGGTGCCCAGCCCACAGTAGTCACTCAATAAATATTTAAAGTACTGTGGATGAATGAACAAACAGATGTGGTATTCCGTCCCTGGGACCTTTCCCTACAGAACAGCCCTGCTTCACTTGGCTCTCACCCACCATGTGAGAGCAGCGGTGGGGGCAAAGGGTCATGTTGCCCAGACCAGCAGGCTGAGGGCTGTCTAGTCACAGGTCAGAGCAGGAAGGCCTTCTAGTGACTGGCCCTCCGGTTCCCTGCTCTGTGGATTCTGCAGGTGGACAGGAGCTAACTGCTGGCAAGCTCTTCCCCATCCCCTCTTTAAGGTCGTCCCCTCAAGCTCCCACCCACTTGTAAAATTTTTATTTTCTCCTGTGCCTTCTGTATTTTCCAACTTTTACAGAGTTTATTTACCTTGCTTTTGTAATTAAAAAGAAAATAATATATATTTTAAAAATTTAACCACAAACTCCAGTTCTGTGCTTTATATTAGCAAGAAAGAAAAATGAGAAGAAATCCTCCCATGGGCTTCGTGGCTTGGGGACAGCCCAGGGGTGCTCAGCTTGGCCTTCTTTGTCTCCTGGGCCCACCTGCTATTTGCTAGGGGGCTGCCTCTAACTTTAGCAGCCAGAGCTGTGGGCCTGGAATACTGTATAGACTCCCAGGGGGGCAGGCGCCAGGCCTGTCCCAGAGGGTGCCGGCTGCCTTGCAGGATCGTAGACAAACTGGGAAGGCAAACAGTCAGCTGCAGTCCACAATCAGTCTTGGCCTCCTGCGGCCCATCCACACCCAGGGATAGCCAGGAGGATTTTGAACGAAATTAATCTGGCAAAATAAAGGGGCTTGGGGAAATCGTAGCAGATTTCCCCCAGGTACAAGTGGGTTAAACTCCAGTTTACAAGGTGTAAGAATAACTAAAGGTGGCTCAGACAGGCCAGATGAAGTCTTGTTGGATGAAATGGGTCATTTACACATGAGTTTAAATTTCTTTCTTTTTTTTTTTAAGATTTATTTATTTATTTATACAAGCACTGGGTACAGTCAGAAGCGCGGGAGTGTGAGAGAATTCACCAGAGCCAGAGCAGGGAGCAGAGCAGGCAGAAGGACCGAAGTACACTGCTGAGGGGAGCAGCGGGCGGCAGGAGGGGTCTGCGCGCCATGTGGGACCCTCCTCTGGTGGCCGGGGAGCAGCCCGGGATCGAACCGGCGCTGCAGAGGCTGCGGGCAGCTTCGCAACCCGGCGCTCAACCGCTGCGCCACCGGGGAGGCCCTACACATGAGTTTAAAATTTAAAACACATTTCCAAACAAGGACATACTTTATATATTATTTGTGCACTTTAAAGTTACGTATTGGGCCTCCCCGGTGGCGCAGCGGTTGAGCGCTGGGCTGTGAAGCTGCCCGCAGCCTCTGCAGCGTCGGTTCGATCCCCGGCCGCCAGGCGAGGGTCCCACATGGCGCGCAGACGTCTCCTGCCACCCACTGCTCCCCTCAGCAGTGTACTTCGTCACTCTGCCTGTTCTGCTCTCTGCTCTGGCTCTGGTGAATTCTCTCACCCTCCCATGCCTCTGACTGTACCCAGTGCTTGTATAAATAAATAAATAAATCTTAAAAAAAAAAAAAAAAGTTACTAGTATTAACTTTTTGTTAGTGAATAGTGATAAAAACAAAACCAGTTTAGCCTGTCAGGGTGCAGAGCTGCTGCCCAGGAAAAGAATGTGATCTTTAAACGCAAACAACAACCTAAAATAAAATCACTAAATGGAGGAGGCTGAGTTTCCAGAGGGGTCTAAGGAGAGAAGTGAAAAGAGCCCTTCAAATTTAAAAAAACGTTTGTATAAAATGGAGAAATGCGCTGAGAAGTTTGTTCAACTGCCTTGGAAGGCGAAAGGAAAACACAACAACAAAAGATTGTGTGTCCAGCAGCCAAGAGGTGGCACCGAGACAGCACAGTCGGGAAAAGCTCTGATTCTAGAACACATCCTCGAATCAGTCAGCCCTTCCCCGAAGGCAGAGAAGCTCCGTGTCTAACATACCATTTCAGTCCCTAACACACAGTCGTAGTTGCTCAGTGAATATGAAAAAGGAAAGATCTGATCACATGGCAACAATAACCCCCTTTTACAGCTAATGGTGACTTCACGCTTTCATTCCCTGCTCATCTCTGGGTACCAGGTGTTCTATTTTATATTTTTCTGCATTGTCTCAGTTGTTTACAAGTAAGCTTTGTTTTTTAACCCTCCCAACAAAATTCCATATTTTATTTTTTTAAGATTTATTTATTTATGCATACAAGAGCTGGGGTACAGTCCAGATGCCGGGGTGGGAGTGTGTGTGAGAAAGGATTCACCAGAGACAGTAGGGAGCAGAACAGGCAGACTGACTGAAATACACTGCTGAGGGGAGCAGCGGGCGAGTCAGGAGAGGTCTGCTGCGCCATGTGGGTTGCTCCCTGGCTGGCCGGGGGGATCAAACTCGTGCTGCAGAGGCTGCGGACAGCTTCATAGGTTGTGTCTTAACCCCTTGCACCACCAGGGGGGCCCCAAAATTCCATATTTTATTTGGAGTTTTGAGGCAATCTCTAATAAAAGAAGTCTATGTTTGACTCCACTTCCCTACCAGGAATGATATAGGGTGGATCTCTGTAGGGCCCCCCTTGCCATGGGCTGTGCAAGGCCTCATGAAATATTGATATTTACAACAAATAGTAGCCTTGCCTTGTTTCTTGTACAAGTGATACTTGCATGATAATTAATACATTCCTGATTTTATTGGCTTCTGCTCAGAAGTCACTCCACGTTTGACGTGGGCTCCTAGAGCCGGAAGAGGGGTGAGGTAGACAAGATAGTCCTGGGATGTTCTGTTCGTTGTCCTCGTCTGTTGATGGCGTTTGGAAATCCCACCTGTAGGTTGTTTTCCTCCAGGCAAACTCTTCAAAGTGACATTCACAGATCGTAAAGTTCTAGAGGAAACCCCATCTGTTTGCATCCTCAGCAAACTTTTCCTCTCTGAATTGGACTGATTTTCATGGAGCTTCATCTCCCACAAGCTGCAACTATAATTGGATTCATAATAATAGTTCCCTTTCCTCTTAATCTTGTTTATGAAAGGTATGCTGGGTGTGATGAAAAACATTTGATTGTGCTTTCTGACCTGTGCCTGCAGCTGAAAATTTTATATGAGAACCACTTACTTCTCAGTTCCTTTGAAGATTCACTTGGCAGATGAAGGCTTGGTGAGTGGGTGGCTTTAGTTGTTACATATTTTGAATTGAATTTCACCTACTGCTATGGCACCAACGGCAACATAAGCATTTATAAGAAAAAGCAAATGAAATGATAAGCCAGTGAGTCAAATGGAGTTGAGATGGAATGTCAATTTGAGAGGGGTTTGGAAGGGTTTGAATTCTCCCTTCCCCCCAACTCTGTATCCCTTGGCCTTCTCCTTCCTCGGAACATCGGGGCCCTCCGGGCTTGTTGATGTCCAGTTGTTTTTTGAAAGTGGTGCACATTGTCGAATTGTCTGTGTTATATTAAGTCTAATATTTATTGTTCTGACTTCCTCTGCTGCATGTCAGTTTTTCAGATTCTTCCATTGTGTTGAAAATGGCTGCATTTCATCCTTTCACGTGGCTGTGTGACATTCCATGGGATGTACGCACCACATCTTTGTGATCCGTTCTGTCTGTTGAAGGAGATTTAGGCTGCTTCCATGTCCTAGCTAATGAGTATGTTTGGAAATGGAAAGTAATGCAATTATTTCCCCATTGGGAAAAAAGTAATTCTCATAACCATCATTGCCAATTTCTTGACCCCTTTTGCAACAAGGAAGGAAATTAATTCTGCCCTAGATTATAATTCAATAGAAGGGCAAAGTGAGTTCGTTCATTCCACAAATATTATTCAACAACTTATATTAGCAGATCTAGCTAATGCGTATGTCCCCTGACCTCCAAACACCAGTTTTGTAACCTGAAGAGAGAAACAAGCGTCAAACACATATTTCCACTAACCAATGTCCTTTGCACCTATGACAGCTGCTGTGGCCATGTACCCGAGTCTCCAGAAACATGTCCTGCTTGGGCCTAGCTCTACACCTTTGCTCTCCCCTTTTACTACCCGAAGGGCGTTCCTTCTTGTACCTGTTCAAACTTGACCTTGCTGGGCCTTCCTGGTGGCGCAAGGGGTTAAGATGCAACGTATGATGCTGTCGGCACCTGCTGCAGCACAAGTTCGATCCTCGGCCAGGGAGCTACCCACATGGCACAGCAGATCTCTCCTGACTTGCCCGCTGCTCCCCTCAGCAGTGTATTTCAGTCAGCCTGCCTGTTCTGTTCCCCCCTCTGTCTCTGGTGGATCCTACCCACCCACCCCCCCCCCACGCCACTGGCTTGTGCCACAGTTCTTGTATGTATCAAAAAATAAATCTTTTTTAAAAAAACAAACTTGACTTTACTTCAGAATCCCGCTCACAGGTCTCCAGTTCTTGCTCCAAGTCTCTCTGACTTCTGGGGCCCTCACTTCCTCCTCCCTCAGCATCTCTCTTGTCCTGTGCTAGGTCAGATGCTGCCTTGAGGATCACACAACCCTAGCGGTTGTACTAGCCAGGGCTCACCGGGGAAACAACCAATAGTGTGTGTTTGTGTATAGAACACACTCTCGCTCTCCATCTACATAAACTATTCTGAAAACAACTCTGTAGCCATACTCTTGGAAGTCACCTTCCAAGACACCTGCAGATTTAGACAGAAATGTTTCTTCATTTGGATTTGGACTCAGCACAGCCCTGGCCAGTGATGAAAAGACAAAAGACCAACACAAAAGCATGGTGTGTCCTAGGGAGACATGTCTGACCCACGTCTCTTAGTATATATGACATAAGTATCTGTTCCAAGCTTCGCCTTTCTCTCAAGTCTAGTACCAGATCACACAGAGAGCCCCCAACTGGTATGTCCCTGCCCCCAACTACACTTAACAGCCCCCTGCACTAGGGGGCTTAACCCAGCCTCAGAAGAGGGGCCTGCTGCAGCTCAGCCTATGCATAGTGCAAGCTCAGATTTCAGTGCTGAACCCAGAATCAAATTACCAGCCTTCTTCTAGGTTCCTGAGCCTGCTGCTGCTTAGGCTGGAGGAGCAGAGAAGACTGGCATAGAAATCTCCAGCAACTGGGAGATGGGAGTTCCCAAGCCGCATTTCAACACCAGTTCCCATCTTCATGTGCCCTGCAATTACCTGGTGCCCTTTTAAAAATTCCTTCTGCATCTGCAAAAGTCCTTTTCATTCCTCCTCAGTCGCAGAAGAAGAATGGGGAAAGGATAAATACAGAATGTTCCAAGGGAGGGGATTCCAAATGTCTCTTAAACACATGAAAAGATGCTCAATTATGCTCATAATGATAGAAATGCAAATTAAATTAAAAGTACATGAGGAAATACAAGACTGGCAAAGACCAGAAAGTTCGCTAACTCGGTTGGATGAGGCCGTGGGGAAACACCACTGTGACGTGGCTGGGGCAAGGCTGACCTTCCCTGACCTCCTTGGAGAGCGACTTGGCTGAGCACCTCCGCTTCCAGGTATTAATAGATGAACTTCTGCTTCCTGCAAAATGATGTGCCCAAGAATATACGTTGTGGCATTGTTTGGAATAGCAGAAGACTGGGGGCTCTCTAAATATCTATTAATAGGGACCAGTTTAATAAATTATAGACTAGTGCACAGCCACTTAAAGGAACAAGGAAGGTCTGTGAGGGCTGATATGGAAAATTCCACAGGAGCGTTGTTGAGGAGAGTAAGGAGGGATGGGCACACGGTGGGCCAGCCTCTGTGCCAGGGAAGAACGTGTGCACTCACACTGGTGAATGCATAGAGAACCCCTGAAGAATACCCAGGAACCCAGGGGTGCTGGTTTTCTCTAGAGGCTTGGTAACACCAGAGGGAAGGAGGTTTATTTTCCACTAAGTAACTGTCAGGAGTTGAATCCTACCTCCAGTATCTCAAAATGCGACCTTATTTGGAAACAAGGTCAAGGATATTAAAATCAGTTACGATGAAGTCATACCGCAGCTTGGGCTCCTAATCCCACGTGACATGTGTCCTCACACACGGGGGAAATTTGGACACAGGCAGGCACCTGGGGAGAACACGATGTGAAGATGAAGGCAGAGAATGGGGGACTCTCCACAAACCACCAGAAGCCAGGAGAAAGGCCGGAGCAGGTTTCCCCTTGTTGTCTGAACCCAGCCTTAAGAGTGAGAGGACTTTGATGCATGGTAGGAAAAAAGGTCATTTAAAAACACATTTAAGAGTTTCACTTCAGTGAGTCGAGGGTTTGGTTCCTCGGATGGGAGAGGGAGAGTTTTTGCCTGATGGGGAGATGGTGGATCAAGAACTCCTTCCTCCCTGCACTGCAGGGCCTGGGCAGGGACAGGTGACACAGTCCATCCAGCTCCCAAGGTGGCTGCTCTGGTGGATCACAGAAGCCACCCCTGGGTGGGGCAACAGAGTGTGCGGGCTGCACTTGCTGGGCCCACATCAAATACCCTGCAGGCTGGGTTCCACGCCACCACCATACATGACCCTCACAATAAAGGAAGCCACAGGAATTTGGGAGTTTCCCAGGGTATAGAAAACTTATGTTTACACTATACTGTAGTCTATTAAGTGTGCAGTACTGTTATATCTTAAGAGAAAACAACGCACATACCTTAAAATACTTTATTGCTAGTAATGGTTCATGGTCATCTGAGCCTTCAGTGGAGAGTATGGAAAATTCCCCCTTACTGTGCTCAATAGTTTCTTAGAAACTGTAATTTTTTTTAAAGATTTATTTATTTATTTACACAAGCACTGGGTACAGTCAGAAGCGCGGGAGGGTGAGAGAATTCACCAGAGCCAGAGCGGGGAGCAGAGCAGGCAGAAGGACCTTAATTTTAAGTGAAACAATGTATAAGGAAACCATGTCAACAATCGCTGGGATTTTTTTTTTTTCCTCATCAATGTTTTAACAAAACCACGTTCAATAAACCACGTTATTTGAGAGCCTAGTGGCCTACTGTTTGCTGGTAGATGGTCTCCCCTTCATGGTGATGACTCCTGACTGATGGGGGTGGTGGTGGTTGAAGATTGGGGTGCTTCGCATTTCTTAAAATAAGACAATAATGAAGTTTGCCACTCTTGACTTCCTTTCAGGAAAGATTTCTCTGCAGCATGTGATGGTGTGTGATAACACGATAGAACTTTCAAAAGGGGAATCCAGCCTCTCCAACCCTGCCACTTCTTTATCAGCTGAGTTGGCATCATCTTCTAAATCCTTTACTGTCGTTTCAGCAATTTTCACAGTCTCTTCACCATCAGTGGATTCCATCTCAAGGCACCACTTTCTTTGCACCCACAAGGATCAGCTCCTCATCTTTTAAAAGTTGTGTCATGACGTGGCGGCCAGGCAGTCACATCCTCGGGCTTCGAATTCTAGTTCTCTCCCTATTTTCACCACATCTGCAGTGATTTCCAGAACAGTCAAAACAGTAACATCAAGGTCACTGATCACAGATATGATAATCATGAAGAAGTTGGAAAGATTTCAAGAATTAGCAAAATGTGACACAGACACATGAAGTGACCACGTGTTGCTGGACAAATAGCGCCATTATACTTGTTTGACCAGGGTGGCCACGAAGCTTCCATTTGTAAAAAATGCAAATCCTGTGAATCTCTGTAAAGTGAATCACCATAAAACAAGGTGTGCCCATACCACAAACAGGCAGGCTTCAAACAATAGAAATGTACCATTTCCACAGCGGTGGAGGTTAATGTTGGAAATTAAGGTGTGGGCGAGGCCATGTTCTCTGGGAGCACAGTTTGTGGAATCAGACTGAATGGGTTTCAAAGCCTGGTGCTACCTGCTGGTCTGCTATGTGAATTTAGGCGAGTCACTGATCTCTAAGTCTGCTTCCTAATCTGTGCCTCCTAGGGCGGTTGGGTGGAATCAATGAGATCAGGTCCTGAAGTGCCCTTGATATTTTAAAAAATAGCTGCCAACGCTAAGTTGTCCATTCCTGTGGCCCCTGTCAAGCTTCCAGGGAAGAACACAGGCAGGTAAATAGCAAGATAGCATAGTTTAAAATTAAAGATCCAGAGACCTGGTACAGAATGTACCTGTCACACTAGGTCAGGGGCACTGGGCTGCTGCAGGCACAGAGTTTAACTTTTAATAACAAACAGATGCAAAGTTAGTGCTGGAATCTGAACCTCTGCAGCTAAGCCATATCGATTTCCCACCTCTCCCTCCACCAGGGTGTATTTCCAGAGTTTATCCTCAAGGTCTCCGTAGCATAACCAGACCAGATATCTCCTGTCACCTTATTTGCTCTAAGACCTGCTGTCGATGCACTTGACCTTCAGGTATTAAAGAGGCCAGAACTTCCATTCAGTGGTCCAGACCTCCCCTTGACTACACTGTCCATAGTGGACGGTGCCCTCAGGAGGAGATGGCTGGAGCAGGTGCACACGGCCCCATGTGTTCATCTCCAGTAACACCCACAGGCAAACACAAGTAACTTGGGATGCTGAGCATTTTTCACAGATCAGGAGACATGGTTTTTCTATGCCAGGTCATGTGTTCCATTAGAAAAGGATGAAATCATCCAGACCCTGACGTCTTTTCGGTGACATTTGCATTAAAAACTCCCCATTATAGCTGAGCTCCAGCCCCTCTGTGACCTGTGCTATGCATCAACCAGGTCGGCCTGTCACAGACAGGGCAGCCACGTGACTCTGGCAGCCTGCTGCTGCCCTTGTTTCCTCGACATTGAGAGAAATTACGTACACAAAGCTTTGTTTTGAATTATAAATCTTTTTTGTTGGAGCCTGCTGGGACTAAACCATCGATACACTTATATTTATTGGGTGTCCGGCTAATATTTATCAATTGCCTTAATTCAAATCCCACCTCTACAAATCATGAGCTTTCTGACATTGAGCAGTTTACTTAGTGTCTCTACACCTTAATTGCTTCATCTATCAAGGGAGAATCATAATAATACCTACCCTTAAGGTTGCTAAGAGGATTGTTCCAGGTTTGCTTCCTTGGAAAGGAGACTGAGAGATAGGAGTCAGGTGGCAGGATTTGATCAGGGGAAGCAGGAAGTAGGATTGGGCAGAGAAGTTGGGTGGTGGGTGGAGCAGCCTCAGGGAAAGCAGCAGCCAACCCCAGAGGGCGCTCTGGAGCTGGGCTAGCAGGTAAGCCCTATCCTGAGTTAGACCAATAACTAGAGCAGTTGCTGGCTGCAGAGCACACTGGAAGGAGGTATGACCTTGGGCAACGCAGCTTCCTTCAGCTAAGTCAACTGGAAAGGACACTGAGATTAGTCTTCCTGCAGCATTCCTGGCAGCTGGAGGAATAAATTCTTCAGGATCACAAGCCTCCACCACAAAGATGGAAGGAGATAATTCACATGCAGCCTTCAACACAGTACCTGGCCTGGAGTTGATGCTTAATAAGTGGTAGCCATTCCAATTACTGTTGTTTTCATAACCTCCTGTCCAGCATTGTTCTAGATGCTGAAGACACAGTGGCAATCAGGATTCTGCTCCTCCCCTTGAGAAACTCAATCCACAAATAAATCAGATCGTCAAGCAAGCAATTGAATGCAGGTCATGTGATGGAGGGACAGGTGACTCAGGCTAGGACGGTGAAGGAGAGTGAAGCCAAAGTTGATCCCTAAAGATGAAGAGGTGTGAGCTAGGCCCAGGGAGTGGGAGATGCTGAGGTGGGAAAGAAAGTGGAGGAGCAACATGCACAGACAAGAGAAGGTGCAGCGTGCCTGTGATGTGGTTCAACTCGGCCAGCACAAAGTATGTGTGCACCCTTGAGAGAGGGGGAGGGGTCTGGGGCACACCAGGCCAAGGTGTGTGCACTTGGATATAGAAGGGGAAATAAGAGCCATTAAAGCTTTGTAACCAGAGAAAAGTTACTAGGAAAAGGTGCTTGGAAAAGGTGGTCTGGCTGCCTCGTGGGTAATGAACTGGACATGGACAAGATTAGAGGCAATTGCCAGGTTCCACAGGAAAGATAAGGGTGGGAATCACTCAGTTTTCCTGCATCTCTTATATTATTAAACTTCTGTTTGTTTTTCTCTTGCTAATCTGACTTTTATGACTGAGGGGCTTAGTCGAGAACCTAAGAGGGCAGAAGGAGCATTAGTCTTCCTATAATACACTCAGAATTTGTACACTTGAAATGGGTGAATTATCTAGTATGTGAATTATATCTCAAAGGAGCTAAAAATGATTTAAAAATTAAAACCACATCTTAAAAGAATTCAACAGAAAAGATTCATTTAAAAAGGAAGATATGGGTGACTTGGATCTGGCTGGGGGACTGAAGAAATAGAAGCATAGAGTCAAGGAGCATGGAATTGGTAGAGTTGGTGACAACTGGAAGGTAGAGAGTAAGGAGAATCCAGGATCATGATTAGGCTTCTGATCTGGGCAAAGAACTCCAGAGGGCCTAGTGTCTTAGTCAGTTCAGGTTGCTGTAAGAGAAAATCATAGACTGGGTGGCTTATAAACAAATTTATTTCTCACAGTTCTGGAGGTTTCAAAATAGAAGATCAAAGCACCAGAGGATTCGGCGTTTGGGGGGTCCCACTTCCTGGTTCCCATCTCCTCACTGTGTCCTCACATGGAAGAAGGGGGGAGGGAGCTCTCTAGGATCTTCTTTTATAAGGACACCAACCCCATTTATGAGGATTCCAACCTCCCTCCCATGACATGATCACCTCCCAACAGCCCCACCTCCAAATTGCACGATATTGGGTAATAGGTTTCAACATACAAATTCTGAGGGGACATAGCCATCAGCCCACAGCAGCTGGGGAACAGGCAGCCTAAGATCTGGAGGGGGGAAAAAGTCACTAAGGGCACACATGCTCCTTGTTTCTCAGCATGGGTCAAAGTGGCTTCTCCCAGCCAGCCCTCCGGGACATACCTTTCCATCTAAAACAAACCTGCATGAAGACCCCAGGGGAGTACAACCCTCAGGTGGGGCTATGTCAACCCCAGACTTGCTTCTCTCAAGCAAAAAAGCAAAGCCAGCCTGCAAAGCAAAAAATGTTCCCGGTTATAAACTGTAGTCGTAGCGGAAAACAAATTGAGCAAAGGAAGAAGATAGAAATAAAATCCACTTTGGACTACAACTTCAATAAACACCCATGTTTATTGAATATGGACTCTGGGGCCCATCCTTGGGCTCAGGGCTTTGGATGTAAGGAAGAAGAAGCTAGACACTGACCAGTGAACTTGAGGGCCCAGGTTTTTCAATAGTAGTATTTCTTTTTTTTTTTTAACTATTTATTTTTTATTTTTTTAAGAGGCATGTATTTTTATTTATTTATGATTTTTATTTGTTTGTTTTGTTTATACAAGCACTGGGTACAGTCAGAAGCGCGGGAGGGTGAGAGAATTCACCAGAGCCAGAGCGGGGAGCAGAGCAGGCAGAAGGACCGAAGTACACTGCTGAGGGGAGCAGCGGGTGGCAGGAGAGGTCTGTGCGCCATGTGGGACCCTCGCCCGGCCGCCGGGGATGGAACCGGCGCTGCAGAGGCTGCGGGCAGCTTCGCAACCCAGCGCTCAACCTCTGCGCCACCGGGGAGGCCCAATAGCAGTATTTCTTATGCTAAGTTAGTGCACTTGCTTATGTGTGTGTTTGGCGACCTGATCAGTCCAGAGACTTGAATAACCTCTGATTTTTTGGACTTCAGAGCTGACAAGCAGATCTATGCAAGTTAGAATCTGCACTGGACATGATGCAAAGGTCTCTTTAGCATTTGCTCAAAAAGTAATTTGAGGGCAGGAAGAGAGGAGAGGTGTTGTCTTTGACAGTTTTCAAGTATTTTATTTTATTTTTCAAAGATTTATTTATTTATGCATACAAGAGCTGGGGTACAGGCCAGAGATGAGGGGGGTGAGAGGATTCACCAGAGACAGAGCTGGGAGCAGAACAGGCAGATTGAAATACACACACTGCTGAGGGGAGCAGTGGGCGAGACAGGAGAGGTCTGCTGCGCCATGTGGGTTGCTCCCTGGTCGGCTGGGGATTGAACTCGTGCTGCAGAAGCTGCGGGTCTGCTTCATAGTGCGGTGCTTAACCTTTTGCGCCACCAGGGAGGCCCAGTTTTCAAGTATTTTAATCCAAGTTGAAAACTGGGCCCAATATTAGTACAAGGCAACTTCTCAAAGACGTTTCTGGTAAGGGGAACCACTCCGCACGCTCAGAGATCTAAAATGGACCCTCCCAGACGATCTCTTTTCTCAGAGGAATCGTGGGGCTTGGTTGAGTTTACAAGTGCCACCACCATGGAATCAACCCAAAAAATGAGCGTCAATGATTCGGTTCAGTCGCCACTTGCCAAGTGGAAGTTAACAATTAAGATGGCAAGAATCAGCCTCTATCACACACACACACACACAGACCAAAGCCCCCAAAATGATTTTTCTTTAAAATTGTTCATTGCAATGAAAGTTTCTGCAGCTGAGCTAGGAGGCTCCCGAGGATAAGCCCGGGGCGCACGCAGTCTTTCTGGGGTTGCTAAAGGACAGCAGGTGAGTTCCAGAGCTGCTCCCCAAGGCCCTTAATCCCGGAGTGATTAAAACGAAACTGAGGGCCGTCCTCGTCCCGAGCCATTCATTACATGGGGTGCCAAGGGGGGGGTGTGCGGCGGTGGGCGAGTCTCCTTCCTCCGAAACCAAAGGCTTTAATGCCTAACGATGACTTTTATTTTTACACGCAGGAGCGGCGGCGGCCCGGCGCGGACTCCCAGGCCCGGGAACACCCACAAGCTGGAAGAAGTGGGGGCGCGGCTGAGCCCGAAGCCGGCCTAGGGCGCACGGAGGACGCCCCGGGGCTCGCCGGCCCCGCAGGCCCCTCGCCGGGCGCGCCCCTCCCCGGGGCGCCGGGCACCCGCCGACGCCCCCCTCCCCGCGGGCGCAGGGGGGCGCGGGGTGCGGGGGAGGGGCGGCCCCAGGCCCCGCCCCGCCCCGCCCCGCCCCGATTATAGCCCATGACTCAGGGCGGAGCTCCGCATCCAACCCGAGCCGCCGCCAACTCTGGATGGGACCAGAAGTTTCTAGCCGGCCAGTTGCTGCCTCCCTTTGTCGCCTCCGTCCCCCTTGGCAGCGGGGAGGCTATTTCCAGACACTTCCACCCCTTTCGGGCCACGTCACCCCCTCCCTCAATTCATAAGGGCGCCCGGCGCCGGCCTCGGGACACGTCGCGGCGCGCACGGCCCGCACCCGCCCCGCCGGAGGAGCCCGCGCCCGCCCCGGCCCGCACCGCCCAGCCCGGCCCGGCCCGGCCCAGCATGAGCGCAGCCACCCACTCCCCGGTGGTGCCGATGGCGTCCGGCAGCGGCGACCGCGACCCGCTGCCCCCCGGCTGGGAGATCAAGATCGACCCGCAGACCGGCTGGCCCTTCTTCGTGGACCACAACAGCCGCACCACCACGTGGAACGACCCGCGCGTGCCCCCCGAGGGCCCCAAGGTGAGCCGGGCTCGACGGCCAGGGCGCGGGCCGGGGCGCGGGGCCCCGAGGTCGGCGAGGGCCCCGGGGCGCCCGGACACCCCGGGCGCCGGCTCCCCGGGCGCCCCGCCGCGTGCCTCGAGCCGGGTCGCCCGGAGCCGGGTCGCCCAGCGCACCCTTGGGGGCCCGGGCTCGGGAGGGAGGGAGGGAGGTGGGGGGGGGTGCCCGTCCCGGGGCCAAACGCAGCCCCGGAGCTGCGATCCGCGCGGCCCGGTTCGCAGGGCCGAGGCCCAGGGCGGGCGCCGGCCGGGCGCGCACAGAGCGGCCTGGGCAGCCCCCGAGGCCGGCGAGGCCTCTGCGCCGCCGCCGCTGGGCCGAGGTCCGGCGCCCTCCGGGCTGGGCTCGCGCCGGGGCAGAGGCCGGGGCCCGGCTGGCGCGGGGGGCGCGGGGCTCGCCCCGGTGAGCTCCTGCCCCGGGCGAGGGTCTCTCCTCTCGGACAGTGACTCAGGAAACCCGAGCAAAGGCTTCCCTCCCCCCGCCCGGATTTCAAATTAAAACCGTGTTGTTTTGAAACTTTTCAATAAGAATAAACCCTGGTATGACTTGTTCAACCAAGACGTTCTTCTCCCGGGCAGTCTCCAGGCTGAGGATGTGCGCCTTCCTCTAGGGCCCGGGCGCCCCGCGTTGCCTCACCCTGGCCAGGGCGAGAATGATGTGGTAATGGCATACGTTCCCTTCTTTGTTAGGGCATTAAAATACCTCGGATTTGTTTCTAATACCCAAGTAACTGAGTCGTAGTCCTTTTGTGAGCGCAGCAGATGTGTGCCTGATATACTCCTGAACCCTTAGGAGCACGCTCGTTTGGAAAGATAAATATGGAATCATCCTCTTAATTTAAAAAAAAAAAAGTGTCCTCGTACTACTCTTGCAACTTGCTATAAATTTTATTTTCCAAAAGGAAAAGCTTGGCAAAAAAGACCAAGTTAGAGAAAGGGTAATATGCTATCCAGGCCAAATAAAAGTAAAACCCATAAAGAGCTGATACATTATTTTGAAGATTCAGAAATTCACAGAATGAAAGACACTTTGTACAAAGAAAGACCTGAATCATCACCTTCATTTCTGTGCACTTTTTTTTCCTTAAAAATATAGAAACTTTGGTGCCCAACGGTGAGATGTACGTTCGGCAACTTAACATTTCTTCAAAACTGTGTGATTGATGTGAAAATGAGCATGATGTGAATTATCTGAGATGGGCACACACACACGTATGTGCTTTTCTACACATCTGTTCCGGCAGTAATTGGGTGAAACTAATTTTCATCCCAAAACGGCCCGGTTCCTACGGCCTGCATGAATGTGGATTGTTAGCGTGCTTAAAAAAAATTATCTGCTGTCACCCTTTGTGGTGAGTGAAGCTCAAGTATGAACATATCCACCTGAGTGCAGGGTAAGACCCGGGTTGTCAGCTCTTTGTTTTCAATGTGAAACTCACCCAGCAAGTTGAGATCTTCCTGCACCCGTCCTGTGAATGGGCTTGGCCCTGCTTATGGTTTCGTAAACCTTTTCATGGGAAAAAACAGGTTGAGTTACTGCTATAATTGCTCTCAGTAAATAGAAATTCTGAGCTACCCAATCAGAAGTCTGATGCTGGAAAAATTGATTTGAAGATTTAACAGAAGTTTGAAAGGCCCTTCGAGATCTTCTAGATCAGCCTCTGTATTTTCCTGGTAAAGAAAGCTCAAGAGTGTTTCCAAAGGTCACTCAGCTGATACTGAAGCCCAGATTGAACTGCAGCCGAAAGGCCCGTTAAGAGGCAGTGCATGGCTCAGTAGAAGGGAGAGGGGCTTGGATTTTTATGAAACGGAGAAGTATGCAGACTGGCATACTGGGTTATTTTTGTGTCCTCCCAGCATTGGGTGGCTGACCTCTGTGCTGGGACTGCTTGGATGGCGGTCACTGGATGTCATCAGCTGAAGAAATGAGTTCTCTTTACCAAATTAACTACTCGAAGCTGGTTGGCCTGGCACCAGAACTTAAGAGGACTGACGTGCAGCTCATTGCTCTCTGGGCTGGCTTCAGTGCTTTGATAGCCACAGAACATCAGGGTGACTAATTCACTTTCGCTTCTTTAAATTCTATCTGCTCCAGACTTAAGACAACAGAAAATCCCTCAGTACTATTTTATGTTAGAAATCCTTTTCTTAATCCATAATGAAAAAAGACCCTGGTGTAAAACAAAGGGCGATTTGGGGAGAGCTGAGCTACGAGGATCCTCAGAGCATCCTCACCTTAGAGAGGAGGTGCCCTCAGTCATTGCAAAGCTATTTGTTGAGCATAGAAAACAGCAGAAGCCCCTTCGAGGGTGGGGTGGGGGTTGCAGGAAGACAGCTTTTGGGTGTTACAGTCTGACCATGTTACTAAAGGAAAAGGACTTTTGCGGAAAGAAGAAAAACAGCAGAACTTTGTGTTTTGTTTTATAGTCTGGCACTCACAGGCGATCCTCCCAGAGCCCCTGAAGTGTTGGAGTGACCCTCTCCATTTCTGGGTGAGGGGGTGGGGGTGGGGCGAGTGAAAGCAAGTGTCTGGCCCCTGGTTGCAAAGGGGGGGCTGGCAGAGGCAGAACATTGGACTTTATCCAGCTCTGCTCTGAGCAGTGGAGCCTCCCCCTCTGCAGTCTCCCTGTGGTCCAATTCTTTGCGCACTTGGGTTTCCCGTTAATCTCCTGGCAAGTTCATACCAGTCTTGGCCCCTTCCCTGGCAGGGAGGCTGGTGTTCTCCTTGGAGTCGGGAGATGCACAGTGCCCAGGCAGCCGCTCCCCCTGCTCTCCTTACGGGATAAACAGGTCAGGTAGGAGCAGGGCACTGGCCGCTCCCTCACCAACCTCCCTGGGACTAGGAGACCCTCCTTGTAGGAGGAGATTGAGTCCTAAGCCTGGCAGGCTCCAACAAAGACTTTCAGGGGCACAGATTGCTGGTCGAATCACCCCCACGCCACCACCCCCACAGCCCCCCATGTTGAATCTGTTTGCTCAGAGTGGGACGCAGAAATCTGTAAGTCAAAAAATCTTCCCTGATGATTCTGCTTCTACCAGACTGATATCTGGGAGCCACTGATGGACGGTGATCCCATTTGGTTGTGGGGGAGCTGTGACTCCGTGTTTGCTATACGTGGGCCCTGGAACCCCTCAAGTAGCACCTGCCTAGCACCTGACCCTCCATTTTCCGTCTTGGTGAAACTGGCTTCTGGGGTGTGAATGAAGCGGGTGGGCATGGGAAGGGATGGAGACTGGCAGGATGGGTGTGGGGAAGCGGTAAGAGCCTCCTGTTCTCCAGGAAGAAGTGAGCCGGAGTGTTTCCTCCCTGGCTGCCCTGCCCCCCCTGCACAAGCTCACCATAGACGTTTGACAGATTACACTCCGGCCTGTGAGAGAGAGAGGCAGGACCAGCCTTTCAGAGGAAATTGAAAATGCTTTGAGTTATGATTGAAGGAGAGAAACCCATTTATTCTGCTTCAGGTTCAGCAGAGCCTCCTGAATTTTCCTCAAGATGAGCTCATTCTGCTCGTGGGGGATCGATTGCAAGCTCTTGTGCCTCTTAGCGGAGCCAGAGCACAGTCAGGAAGTGAGCGAGTGGCCATGCTTTCCTCTGTATTTCGAGCCAGTTGGAGTCAGCGCAGCAAATTCCTTCGAGACTGATGAACAGTGATTTGCTGGGGAGGATAAAGCGGGTGGCCAAGTGCCGCAGGAGTCCAGCTCACCCAGGACCTTTCTTTTCCCCTTTCAAGAAGGCTGTGCTAGGCTTGGCACACGCTGATTTGTCCCCTGTTTTGTAGCGTGGATTCGTCCTTTATGGGGGCAGCGTGGTACACGGGATGGTGGTGGTGGTTGATGTTAGCCAGGACCCAGGAAGGCTTAGCTGTCTGATGCTCTTAGGGGGCCGGGGGAGCTGGTGGTGAGTCAGAGAGCTTCACAGCACCCATGAGGCTTGATTAGTGCTGTCCTTGTTTCTGGAATGACACACGGTTGACTTCCATAAACCACTCTACATGTTCAGTGCTTCCTATTGACATTTAAAAATACCCGATGTTGATCATCAAAAATAGGAAGCCAAGCATCATCCAAACCTACTCTTATCCTTCAGACTTTCGCTGTTTTCATGTTGCTCCTGAATATTAAAGGCACTTTTACATAGGAAAACTGGGAGCATTACACAAGGGCTTTGCTTGTCAGGAACCCCGAGACCCTGCATCCTGATGAAGACCAGAGAACCTTCTGTCACCTGACTGTGGTGTCCTCAGCCCTTCCTGGCTCCCCAGTGCTAGCGAATCTGACCTGCACCCCCCTATTCTCTCCCAGCTCACCCAGGTCTCAGACTCACAGCTGGACTTTTGAAGCTAAACTCCAGATCCCCTCCTTCTGCGGACGTGGGAAGTGCCTCACCGCCCTCTCTTCATGTTGCACCTGACGTGATGAAGTCTGTAGGTTTTCCCATGGAGAGTTCTTTGGGGGCCATGGCAGCTTTTCAGGAAGCCAGGCAGCTGGCAAAGCTTCTTTAGGAAGAAACAAACCTAATATCTTTTTGTCTGTCAACATATTTATATACATGTGCCAGACACTGGAAGGTTCCTGTACAAACTTCTCTCTTCAAACCCTCCAAACAGCTCTCTGAGCTAGAAACTACTAGGTGTGTCCAATGTGTGAGAAAACAGATTTGGAGAGGGGACATGGGTGTCCTGAGACCTGTCGGCTGGGACAGAACAGAAGGTCCTTGGGGGGCTGGGAGGACCTGAGGGAGAGACAGACTTGTCCCTGGGGGTCCAGCTGCTTCTCCAAAGTCCTTCCTACCCAGTGCTTGCCAGGCACAGCCCCAGGGATAAACAGCCTTGAGTTCACCTCTGTACGGGCCGGTCAGAAATGCTGGCTTCTTGCCTGAACCCAGGAGATGGGCCAAGTCCTCGCTCCTCATTCATCCCTGAGTCCTGCTGCCGGCCACCACCTCCCTGTCAAACGCCACGCAGA